CTAAAGCAATCGAATGGGGTTCCACGACGACAAACTCACGCGGTCGACGAGTACTTGACATGGTGTCTAGATTGGGGCTTATAGTAGCAAACTTAAGTTTCGCTACAACATTCAGAAGACCCGGATGCGAAGCCACAACTCCAGATATAACACTTATGTCGGATATGTTTTCAGGGGCACTCAGAGACTGGAAAGTACTGGAGGATTATACCGGCAGCGATCACCAATATATTGAATTCAAGATTACACTGCGGGATAGCGCTGCAACAGACTACCAACCTAGCGGTACGCGGAAATGGAAGGTGGACTGTTTAGATGTACCATCTCTACTTGCTGCTATAGACAGCAGGGTTGCAGATAGAGATCCCTTACTAAACTCGACCACACTAACAGTATACACCATGAATAGCATTCTACAAGCTTGTAATGTTTCCATGCCAAAAGTGGGAAGATCAACCCGAAAGAAAGCCGCATACTGGTGGACCGAGCAAATCGCGGAAATGAGGACCATCTGTTTGAGGTGCAGGCGAAAGCTGACCAGAGCCCGGAGAAGAAGTACTGCTGAAATAGAGGAGGTGGAGTTTAAAATAGCTAAGAAAAATTTGAAAGAAGCCATAAAACAAAGCAAAAAGGCGAAGTGGGAAGAACTAAGAGAAGATATAAACAACAATCCATGGGGCACCGGATACAAGATTGTAACTAAAAAGCTGGGTGCCAGACAACCCACCCCATCACTAGGAAGCGAAAAAATGAAGGAAATAGTTGACACATTATTCCCGACACATGAGGTGCTCCCAAGCAGATCAGATGATCTCCTGAGAGAAATGCCGCCACTATTTACTCTACAAGAGCTTTTTGCAGCTGCTAGCGCGCTAAAAAATAATAAAGCTCCGGGGCCAGATGGAATACCGGCTGAGATACTAAAAGTGATTGCAAATGAACGACCACATGTACTACTAGAAATGTACAATGCTTGTTTAATGGAAGGCAACTTTCCGGAAATTTGGAAGAAACAGAAACTAACTTTAATTAGTAAGGGTAAAGGCGACCCAGAACGTGCTGAAGCATACCGACCACTCTGCATGCTCGACACCGCTGGAAAACTCCTTGAAAGACTGATCAAGCCTCGACTTACAACAGCAATCGAATCAGCAGGTGGCTTGTCACCGAGACAGCACGGTTTCAGGACAGGACGCTGCACGCTAGGTGCAATAGAAGATATAGTTACGGCAGTAAAGACTGCACAGACTGGTAACCACTATTCGAGAAACATTGTCTTGCTTGCAACACTTGACGTACGAAACGCGTTCAATAGTGTAAGATGGGCTGATATTCTCAATACACTGGAAAACAAGTTTAGAGTACCACGCTACCTGATGGATATAATAGCTAGTTATTTGAAAAATCGCGTGCTAGTCTACGACACCCACGACGGACCAAAAGAAAAACAAATCACATCAGGAGCAGCGCAAGGATCAGTTCTCGGACCTGAGCTGTGGAATGATAATTACAATGGTATCTTAGAGCTGGAAATGCCGGATGATACACATCTGGTGGCATTTGCAGATGATGTTGCAGCAGTGATAAAGGCAAGAAATATAGAAGAAGCGCAACGAAAGCTAACCATGGTAATGATACGAACACAGGAATGGTTAGAGGATCACGGACTCAAACTCGCCGCGGAGAAAACAGAGTTGATCTTTCTCACAAGAAAGCATATACAGCTAGAAGTCGAAATGCGAGTATGCGACAAAACTTTAATGTCGCAAAAAACAGTCAAATATTTAGGCCTTCGACTGGACTCCAGACTAACATTCTGGGCTCAGATTGAGGAAGCGGCATCTAAAGCGGGAAAAGCTACAGCAGTATTGAGCAGACTTATGGCAAACATAAGGGGACCCACACAGAGTAAAAGACAGCTCCTCATGGCTACGGTAAATTCCATTCTTCTATACGGAAGCGAAATATGGGCAGCCGCACTACAAGCAAAATACCGAAGAAGAGCGTTAGCGTCAGTGCAGCGAACAGCAGCTCTAAGGATATGTTCAGCGTATCGCACCGTTTCAGAAGCAGCGGTTCTCGTGATTACTGGAAATATTTCTATTGACCTACAGGCTCAAGAGCGAAAAACATGTTGGCAGGCAAAACGAATGGGAAACAACAACACCGACAAGCAGTTGGTAAGACGCAGAACCATTGCAGTATGGCAGCAACGCTGGGACTCAGATAACCGTGGACGATGGACTGCAAGGCTTATCCCAGATCTAAAAACCTGGCTAGCAAGAGACTTTGGCGAGGTTAACTACTACCTACTAAAAAAAAAAAAAAAATTATTATTATTAACAGCTATCTCTATCGCATGCGCAAAGTAGAGTCACCAAATTGCATATATTGCGGAGCGGAGGATGATACCGCAGAACACACATTCTTTGAGTGCAATAAGTGGTTGCCAGAACGAGAAGCACTTGCAATGCAAGTTGGTACCTTCACTCCCAGGACGGTAACGGGAAAAATGATCGAAAACATAACAAACTGGGATCGCGTAAAAATGTTTGCTGAAAAGATCCTGAGATTGAAAAAAGTAGACCTTGACAGAAGACAACTGGAGTAAAACAGATGAATCACACAAAGACGAAGGATAAGGTTAATCACCTGCAGCAGATGCGGGGCCTGGACGCAGGTCACACCGATGGAAGTCTTAGATGACTAATAGAGACCCTACCTTGAAGTAATACTAACGTAGTCCCGGGGTAGGACAAGGTCTCTAGGAATGAGGGGGAGTTGGTTTACTCCGTGCAAGTCGGACACTCACTTTCCGGGCCGCCGGATTGTGGTCAGTGCGTAGGCATTCCACTCCTCCTTGCCGAAAAAAAAAAAA